ATCCATTACCGACGATTGAGGATTTCCTTCCAGATCTCGCTAAGGCAAAAGTTTTCTCAAGACTTGATGTAGAAAACGCATTTCACCAGGTGGGCTAAAGTTGATTGATTGAATCCAAATTGACAGCGCTGCTAAATTGAACGAATTGAAGAATTTAGATATATGTTACGAACGGATTAGTTTAGTTTGCTGTACTTGCGTAACGTTATGATTTTTGGGGTTTATCCTAGTAGCCTGATAGAATTCCAGTCTAACTGTCAATTTGTGATACTTTATTAATAAATAAGCAAATGGAATTTTGATGTATTGAGTTTTATTTTTAGGTTGAAATATCTCAGAGATCCAGGGAAATTACAACGTTTATCACGCGTAGAGGTTTGTACAGGTATACCCGCCTGATGTTTGGCATCAACTGCGCTCCTGAATTGTTTCAGAAAATTATGGAACAAGTCTTGAGTGGATGCGAAGGTTGTGTAAACTTTATCGATGATGTGATTGTACACGGATGTGATCAATAGGAGCATGATATACGTTTGGAGAAGGTACGTTGTAAGCTGCAAGAAATGAATGTTAAGCTAAACGATACCAAATGTTTATATGGAGTAAGTGAACTGAAATTTTTGGGGCATATTTTGTCTGCTAATGGGATTAGACCTGACACAGATAAGTTGGAGTCGATTCGTAATTTTCGAGAGCCATGTTCCAAAGAAGAAACTCGAAGTTTTTTGGGATTAGTCAATTATGTGGGAAAGTTTATTCCAAACTTAGCGACCCTAACTGATCCTCTCCGGCAGCTAACTAAACAACACAACAAGTGAGCATCAGGTAGCGTTCGACTATCTGAAAAGTCACATGACGAATCCTACAACCCTAGGTTACTTTGACGTTGAGGATCGAACTCAATTGATCGCTGACGCAAGCCCTGTTGGTCTAGGGGCTGTCCTTATTCAGATTAACGACCGAGGCCCAAGAATAATTGCATATGCGAGTCGAAGTTTGACCGATGTCGAAAAACGATATGCTCAAATAGAGAAGGAAGCTCTAGCATTGGTATGGTCTGTTGAGCGATTCCACTTTTATGTGTACGGCCGTTCATTTGAATTGATCACAGACCATAAACCATTGCAAACGATTTTTGGTCCACATCAAAGCCCTGTGCTAGGATCGAAAGGTGGGTTGTCCGGTTGCAGGGATATAAAGGAACAGTTATATATCGACCTGGCAAATCCAACATAGCCGACCCATTATCACGACTGGCAGTTACATCCAAGGTAGATGGTAAGACTTTTGAAGAATGCACGGAACATTATGTGCATTGGGTAGCTACAAATGCTGCTCCGGTTGCTTTGAAAATAGCCGAGATTGAGCAAGAGTCTGAAGCGGATAGTTCGATCGGATCTGTCAAGACTGCATTGCAACAGGGTATATGGAGTGAAGATGCAGCTCCCTTTAAACTGTTTGAGACGGAATTATGTTTTGCTGGGAAACTCTTATTGCGTGGAACACGAATGGTTATGCCACAAAGCCTAAGAATGCGAACACTTGACTTGGCACATGAGGGTCATCCGGGTATGACGTTGATGAAGCAACGACTGCGTGCGAAAGTATGGTGGCCAAAACTTGATGCACAAGTTGAGAAATACATCAAGAAATGCCGAGGCTGTATGTTAGTAGCAGCGCCTGCAGCACCAGAGCCGATGAAACGAAGAGAACTGCCATCAGAGCCTTGGCAACACTTGGCTATTGATTATCTTGGCCCACTTCCAACAGGTCATTATTTGTTTGTGGTGGTTGATTACTTCAGCCGCTACATTGAAGTCGAGATAATGAAGAAAATAGACTCCAGTGAGACTATTAGGCGGTTGTCTTCGATTTTTGCTCCTTTCGGTCTGCCAATTTCCGTCACAGCCGACAACGGTTCACAGTTCGCTAGTGAGGAATTTCGAGGTTATTGTGAATCGAACAACATCATGTTGATCAGCACAACTCCATATTGGCCACAACAAAACGGCGAAGTGGAACGACAAAACCGATCCATTTTGAAAAGGCTTTCTATTAGTCAGGCAACAAACACGGACTGGCAATGTGAACTAAATAAATATTTAATGATGTATCGGTCTACTCCACACTCGACAACCGGAAAAACACCGTCGGAAATGCTTTTTGGCTACAATATTCGTGACAAAGTGCCATCCATTAACCAACCGAAGGATGTTGATGAGGAGGTGGCTGATAGAGATAAAGAGAAAAAGAATAAGGGAAAATTGTATGCTGATGGGCGACGCAATGCCAGATCCAACCCTATCTCTGAAGGGGATCAGGTGCTGATAAAAAAGATGACGAAGACCAACAAGCTAACACCGAACTTTGATCCAGAGGTATTCAAGGTGATCAAAAGGAAAGGCGGAGATGTATTGGTGGCTTCAGAAGAGTCAGGAGTAAAGTATCGCAGACATGTATCACATTTACAGCGCATCAACACTGATAAGGAAACCAGCAGCACCAATTTGGATATAAGTAAACCATCATCATCATTGCAGGAACATCATGTTGCAGTAGCGGAAAAGGTTCGAGGAAATCTACACCTGATTTGGAACCCAGAGCTATGAGGACAAAGCGACAACCAGCATATTTGCAGGACTATGTTCATCATGTTTAAGATGTAACAGTGAACCACAAGAAGAAGAAAAAACAATAAGAAAAGAGAAAAGTGATGTAGTATAGTAACGCTATTATATAATCGTAATGCCTGTTGGCTTAGGGGTCTGCGTTGACTGATGCGAGAGAGTACAAAGAATAAAGACAGAAGTGTTTTAGAGAGCAGCAGATAACGACGTGTTTTCCTTCCATCTCCTACGGTCCTCGACACTACAACGCTCACCCATCTGCAACCGTTGGAGGCGAATTGTTTAGCATCGTCGTCCAACGCCAACAGCGGTCAGCAATCTACGCCTCCCAAGTAACAATTTGGGTTTTATGAGGGTTCTGTAGACCATGATTTAGACTAGTAGAATGCTATAAAACCACGATAAAACTTGCAATGTTGCTTGGGCTCCCTCCACCTGTCCACCTGATTCCGCTTTGACTCGTCCAGGCCCTAGTGGATCAAACTCTTCCTCAACTCTGGTGTCCGTCCATCAGTCTGCATTAGTACCAGTCGCACCCCTGTCCACTTCGTCTCAGCCCCAATCGAACCCACCTGCGGCGCTGGTGGCACACTCGGCGAAGCTTCCCAACGAAACAGTTCTACTGTGCACGGCGCTGGTCAACATTGAGGACAACTGTGGAGCTCGGGTCGTTGCTAGGGTTCTCTTGGATAGCTGTTCGCAATTCAATTTGATGACAGAGTCCCTTCATCAACGTCCAAAATTACAAGTTTCTCCAGAACACGTCAACCTTTGTGGCGTGGGGCAGCTTATGACTCCGATTACGAAGGCAGTTGAAACTACAATCTCGTCTCGGATTTCTGCATTCGAAAAGAAGCTGAAATTTCTCGTATTGAAGACTATTTCTTGTGACCAACCGGTACACACGATTACGAAGGTAGATTGGGAGATTCCCAATTGGATAACGTTGGCCGGTCCTACATTCTCTACTCCAGGACCGGTGGATGCGCTCCTGGGCGCCGGAACTTTCTTTGAGCTATTGCGTTACGGTAGGATAGCTCTCGGTGAACGCTTACCCCTTCTTCAAAGCACTATCCTGGGCTGGATTGTCTCCGGTGAATGCTCGAATCAATCTGCTTTGCCAATCCAACGCTGTTTTCTCACCCAAAACCAAAAACTGGAACAGTTGGTGGCACGCTTTTGGGACTTGGAACAGTGTTCGCCGACTAGCGTCACTTCGTAGCCAACGTATTTCGCAACGAAGAGGGTCGATATCAAGTTCGTCTTCCAGTGAAAGAAGAACTCCTGCTTCGTCTTCAGAACAACAAACACAACACAGTGCGTCGGTTCCTCGCTCTCGAGCGGAGACTGAACGCGAACCCCACACTACGTGCTCAATACGAAGAGTTCATCAACGAATATTTGCGTTTGAGCCATATGCGGGAGATACCACAGGAAGAATTGGCAGCAGAAAACGACGATGTTCCGCAGTTCTACCTACCGCATCATGATACTGGGTTGGTGTTGAGTGAGTAGCAACAGGCGGGCAGCGAGATGGTTTGATAGGTGGGCAGGAACTCACGGTCTCCCAGTGTTGGTGAGTTCTTTTCCGTTAAGGGCGGGCAGTGTTCGACAGTGCCATCAAACAGACGTGAATACGAGTGCGGGTCAGTTAAAAGACGGCGTGTTACAACGACGAGAGCATGTTTACCGTCGATCCCGTATCAAATTCCAGAACCGACCGGTATATTAGTTCTCTTCCGGTAAAAGACGTGGCCGACGAGCACAAGAACGTGTATCCTGCATCAAGCATCCTGCTAGCGTTATGGTGTTTGGATTGGTGGCTTCCGATGGCAAAAAATGAACCCGGTGTTAATTCCAGTTGGCGACAAGGTCAACACGGAGGTCTACATCGGGATTTTAAGTATGTTCTTCCGTGGATCAAAGAACAGTACGGTCCGAAGCCAACTGTTGTATTTCAACAAGATGGGGCTCCGTGCCACACCTCGAACCGCACTCAGAATTGGTTGCAGGAACATCTTCCGTTCTGGGCGAAGGATATGTGGCCGCCATCCAGCCCGATCTTAATTCGCTGGATTTCTCAATATGGCGCGTCATGAAGGCCAAGGCCTGTTCTAAATGCCACCCGAGTACAGCAAGCCTCAGACAAACATTGACCCGTACCCGGAGAGAAATGAATCCAGACTACATTATTACAGCAAGTGGAAACTCGTTCGATGATTACCATAGTTTAAGAGTCTGAGAAACATCCCCCCTTTGAATAAATAAAAAAACTCGGAAACGAATTTTTTTGATTTTTTTTTTAATTTTGACATTGCTCAATGGTGCAAACATTATCACGCATACGGTAGTTTTATATCATGATTTACTGAACATTCAAGAAACCGTTTCGCTTGATCCATCTTCCCTACTGTCGGAGGTGGCATACTTGGCCAAATGATCCTCTAGCCACTCCTGCGGGTGTTCCTTCTTCCGGTGCGTGTACATAGTGGCATTGGAGAAGAACTTTTTCTCGCAGTACGGACACTGGTACAGCGGCTCTCTAGTATGGGCATTTGCGACATGTTCCCGCAGAGTAGTTGCCCGTGAATACTCCTTACCGCACAGTTCACATACATGTCGCTTCCTATCCGGAGCGTGCTTGTACCTCATGTGCACCTTCAGGGCCATCAAATTGATCGACACGTGACCGCAGACCTCACATTTGTACTCTTTACCCTCCTCTTTGTGCCGCTGTACATGCTTTAGCCAGTATGTATGATTCTTCATCCACTTGTTGCAAACGGGACACTGCTTCCGTAGCTGCTCCGCCGTGAGCTCATGCGTTTTGCGATGCGCCAGAAACATGCCCCGCCGGTAGAACCCTTTCGAACAAATCTCACATATGAAATCGGTTGGCTTTTGGTGAACGGCTTTGACGTGTTTCCTCACGAACAATTTATGACTGAAGCACTTGCCACAGAGCTCACATTTAGCCGTTTCGTTGTCCAGTGTTTCATGTCCCTTCAAGTGACTTCTTAGTATCACTTCTTTGGTGAAGCTTTTCTCACATCGATGGCATTTAAATACGGGTTCCTTCTTGGCAGTGTGATTCTCCTTCTTGTGACGAAAGTAACCGCTCTTAGACTTGAAAGTACCATTACAAATTTCACACTTGAACGCTTCCGGATTCAGCACATTTTGCACGTGCTGATAAAGGATAGCACGGGTCCTGTGCTGAGTTCCGCAGCATACAACCGAATCCTTATTATGCGTTTGTATTCGATGACGTTTGATAGCTCGGAAGTTTTCAAATTCCATATTACATTCATCGCAGAAGTAGAAGGTGTGTTGTTTGATGAAATCATCTTCCGCTTGCCGTGCTTCGGGGGTCAACAGTTTACGCGAATGGGGATTTTTCCGTTTCGCAATCCTTTCACCCGGTGGTCGTCGCGTGTACTTTCGTTTCTTCTGTGGTTCCTGGGTCGATTCCTCCTTCAAGAGTTCAGTACATTTTTCCACTATTTCAAGCTTGCAGTCCACTACATCGAACGGTTGTAGATCATGCACAGGCAGGTCTATGTAATTTTCCTGAAGTTGATTCTCTTCAATCTCGATTTCCTCTTGTTTGATGAAAACTGATAGCGGTGCTGCTTCCTGCTGTTCATGGAGTTTCTGCACATCTCGGTAGAATTGATGGAACTGATCCACTTTTTCCCAACAGATTCCACAGACGATAGCAGTTTGCAGGTCATCTTCCTGTGTTCGGAACGGGGATTTGAAATTGAACTCCCAACTTTGACATTGAATGAATAGTTTGCTTACCTTGAACCAAAAATGTTGACAGATTATGTGGCATATATTCAGTTCGGAATCCGACGTTTTATGAAAATTTACAGTTTCCTTACAGCAAATAAAACAATTTTTACCAGGGAAATTTGAGTTCATATTCGTTTGTTTTTGTTAAAATTGAACTCGACGGATCCAAGGTAAGTATAACAACAGAATCACCGATCAATAAAATAATGCAAAATTGTGTCACACATGAAGCAACAAGAATCATGTTGCATGTATCAGTGTGGCAAAATATGATGTCGCGTACGTATTGTATGTTGCATTTTTTTGTATCGATCAGAATAGGGTTACCAGTAAAGTTTAGCAGGGATTATATAAACAATTTTTAACCATTTACGGTAAGGTCAAATTTATGGTTCGCGTTTATGCGGGCGTGCCCATTCGTCTTCCTCCTGCAGCGAGAGAGGTTAAATTTTAAAACAGCAAATTGCAGTTGAAAATAACTGGAGATTTCCGTTGAAGTGCTGAGTACAATTTTTTGTCAATTTCACGAAGGACCCGCATATACAACGACCATAAAGCTGGGTTTAGACAGGGCAAGTCAGTTGAATTCAACTGACTTGAACGTGAATTGAACGTGTAAACCATGCCATTCAACTGACTTGATCAACTCAGTTGAATTTAAAAAAGTCGAAACAGCCTCAACTTTTCAAGCCAATTGAATTCAACTGAGTTGATCAAATGACTTTCCCTGTTTAAACCCAGCTTAAGAAGCGCCTAACCACCAAATTCGGAATATCATTCCAACTTTGTGTGGTATGGTCGTACCATCTATCGTTAGTGTATGGTACCCGTTTGTTAGGGAAGCGCGATACCCAGGGTGGCCACTGAATTGAACAAATTAAATTCCCGGTTTCAAATAAACAGCTTAATATAGTATAACACGAATATCGGCATGATTGATTTCAGCAATTCAGTATTAATGTATTGAGCGAGATATTGAGCATATTAAAACCTCGATTAAAACAAATTAGATCCATGGAATAACTTTTGAATTCTCGGGCTAAGAATTTTTTGGGGCTTGGAAAACAGTTCCACAAGACGTTTTCAGTAGCTCTCGCCTTTAACCAGGAACGAACTGCCACGAGAACACCACCTCCAGTAGATTGCCGACTGTCACAACGGAAAACCTCGTATTCGGATCCAAACGCCTGGCCAAGTCTCGACACGAACGATGACATCGTAGCACCGGTCCGATACAGCTAAGTGGTAGTCGTGAACATCAGAATTCATTCCGCCTACGTTTTGGTAGTATAAAATGACGTCATGTTTACTACGGTTGGTGGTCGCACGAAGTAAGGCGTTTTCCGTGGAAGTCATGGAAACATCAGGCGGCGAATGAACATTAACAATCTCAAGTGGATACTCGCCATACTGAGTAGGTTGGAAGACCCCCTCACCACATCCAACCACAGGCCCGGAACGACTATGAAGATCGGAAGCGGCAGATAGCAGGACTGGGTCACAGGGATTGAGGGCTTCCACAAAGCTTTCAAACAGGAGTAGAAGCATTTCTTTGATCGGTGACGCATGTTCAGAATCATATTTGTACTTGCCTGACACAGCAAGTTGGAAGACCCCCGATCCACATCTAAGCTCAGGGCCAGGACGACATTGATATACGCTGGCTGGAATCGGAACGACTGAGTTAGAGGAACCGAGGACTTCCAATGTACTTTCTATAATGCATCCCGGGTGAGAATCCTCATCTAGAGGAACCAGGAGCTTCAAAAATGCAGTCCATAGTGCGTCCCGGGCGTGAAGTTAGGTGACTCATGCTTTTCAGTGGTTGTTCAATGCCGTTGGCAACAGAAATGCTACTCAACAGGCTGAAGTCGGTGAAGGATTCGGACAAATATCTGTTGCTAATGAAACCATACTTGCCAACCCTACATGTTGACCTTTCGATTGCCAAGCACTTTAAGGCAGGGAACAACTCTCACGCTATGCAAAGCCACCTAGCGGAGTTACTCAGAACTAAGTATGCCAAGTTTCAACACCGCTTCATGGACGGCTCCAAGGCTGCGGGAAAAGTAGGATACTGAGTAGCAGATACGTTCAACAGTTTATTCTTTCGACTTCCCGATCAATGCTCCGTCTTCTCGGCGGAGGCCGCGGCCATCTATTTAGCCATCACTACGCCCTCCGATAAACCCATTTGCGTTCTAACAGATTCTGCCAGCGTTTTATGTGTCTTGAACTCAGCAACATCAAAACATCCCTGGATCCAAGGCATACAAAAGACCGCACCACCGAACACCTCATTTGTCAACAAATTTGCTACAACAAAGGAAGTTTTTAACGAAGTGAAGGATATGGCCACTTAGACCCCAGTCAACCAATTGTTTTATGACCTGAGGGGTCCATGCGCGGTTATATGCCCAATCCAAGGCCGCTATGTCGATGTGGAGTTCCTCGTCCATCGCTTCCTGAAGTACGTCTCCCAGGCCGGTAAAGTACGTTCCGGTGCCGTGGCCGGGTCTGAACGCATGCTGTCGGTGGTTGAGATGGTTGTTGTCCGCAAGGAACCGTATTAGCCGGCGATTGACCATTCATAACCGTTCCATGACTTTGCTGGTACAGCACGTCAGTGAAATCGGACGGAAATTTTCCGGTGTTGAAGCAGCTTGTCTCTGCTTTGGGATGGGGACTACTAGGCTGTGAGTCCATTCTTTAGGCAGGGTGTTGTCCGACCAAATTTTGTTTATTAGATTTAGCAGTTCGATTTTGGTGTTGGGTGGGAGGTGTTGCAGCATGGGATATCCGATGTCGTCTGGACCAGCAGATTTACTTTTGCTACGGGATAATGCTAGATTAAGTTCTTCAAACCGAAAGGGAGCGTTTATATTTGTTGGCATTGGGTCCTACGAATACTCTGTGTGGACGCGTGGTTTTTTTTTTGTATGAACGCCGTGTCGTAACGATTAATGGCCGAAAGTGAAGCGAAGTATTTTGCTTATTCGTTGGCGATGGTTTGCGGGTCTCGTGTGAGCCCACTTGGGAGACGAAGGGCCACCCCTCTGGCCTTTCTCTTTCCTTTGAGGGCGTTGACTCGGCTCCACAGCTCTGACACCGCTTGGTTGGGGTTGATCCCCTCCAAAAATTCTTCCCAGCTACTTTTCTTAGCAGCCCTGATGATTTGCCGGCATTCGTTTCGCTCCTTGTCTGGGTGATTCATGGGTAGGCGTTTGGCTGCACGAAGAGCTTTTCTTCTCGCTTTAATGGCAGACTTTGCTTCTGGACACCACCAGTGTAAGGGTTTCCGGCCGGGGTTTGAACTGGTCTTTGGAATGGAGATTTTTGCGGCCTCAGAAATGATCTCCATGAGTTCTTCAATGCTTGCCACTGGATGGTCGATGTGTGCCTGAGTCACGGTATCGTTGAAGAGTTCCCAGTTAGCTTGATCGTAGAGCCACCTGGGACGCCTTGAGGTCTCTGGAGGTTCTTCCCCTAACAAGATGATGATAGGATAGTGGTCACTCCCTGCTGGATCATCCAGAGTTTTCCAGAGGAGGCGCCCGGTAATGGCTGGGCTGGCTGCAGAGATGTCGATCGCTGTTTCGCACTGGCCACGGACGAAGGTGTTCGATCCGTCGTTGAGGGTCACTAAGTCGAGGGACTCGATGAGTTCCACTATGGTAGCACCACGGAGGTTTGCTTTAGAGCTTCCCCAAGATGGGTGGTGCCCATTGATATCGCCGAGGAGTATAAGAGGGCCATCAATTGGGAGCAAAACTCGTTGAAGTTTGTGTAGAAGGTCCGGGATTTTCCCGTTTGGTAGGTATAGGTTAATGACTGAGACCGGGAATGGGGATTCCAATTTGGCTCCTACGATTGGGAGGTCGGTATTAAGGTCGATAGGGATGAACGGAATGCCATCAGCAATTCCGAGGGCAACCGAGTGATAAATATTGCTTTGACTGCATTTGTTTTATCCACCGGTATTTGCCTGCAAGTGTGCGGTCTAGCTGCATTATGTTGACTCTGTGGGTCTACTGGAGAGCCAGAATCTTGGGTGAGATATTATGAACCAATATGCAATTTCTTGCCTCTCGGTAATAGAGTTGATTGCGCTTCCAAACAACGAGACTGTTGTTTTAAACCTGGAACATTTCATCAAAGTTACGCACTCGTCACACATCCAGAACAAGTTCGGACTTGAGCGGATAATGTTCAGAAAAGTATTGATCAGCTTCGTGTTCGCGCACCTCATGTGTATTATCCTATCAAAGAAAGCCATACAGGAGGTTTCGCGCATTTGTCACAAGAAGAACTCATGATGAATAGCAACTGAATACGCGTGTGGAGATGCTCTAATACGCTCGTCACTCGACTCGAAGAGGAGGTGGATTCAGCTCGCACAGCACTCTGCGCACTCTGACTTTGATAACAATAACACAGCAGTAAACACAAGATTTCCGGTACGAAATTGATTCGGCACTAAGCCGGCGCCGCGCCTTTCAAAAAGTTTTGAAGACGGAGTGCGAAGTTCGCGTTTTTTTGTCGCATTTTGATTGGAGTTTTCCGGTGAAAATCTTTTGCCAATCGAAGCAAATTTACGTGTTATCGAAAGCGTAGCAGTGATATTTGGTTTCCCGCACCGCCGTGCGCTATATTAAGTGGAAATTTTGTTGAATTCCGGCTACGAACATACAAAGCTGAATAAGTGAAAACTCTCTCTAGTGGAAGAGCCAACATGGCCGCCACGGTTCAATTAGTATAGAAGATAGGATGGATGTAATAAGTGCGGTATTCAGTGGAGAAAACCAAAGAAGGAAATCTTAAATTAGCCTCTAAGTGAAAAATAGTATTAAGAAAGTAAAAAATCAGTTGGCTTTAAATAAAGATTTAATTGAAGTTAATTTTAAGTAAATAATCAAAAATCTACGGTTAAAAAATCGGAAGACATCGGAAAGAAAAGATGCCGCAAGCAAGTCAACCGGTCACAGAGTAGAAAAACTGGGTCATCGGCAGCAGGAGGAGCAAGGCGGGAACCGTCAGGCTTACGTACCACAGCAGAAAGAGCGGTAATCAACGCAACCATGGATGCACCAAACAACACAAAAATCACGCCATCGAAGGTAGTTTATCTCGAACCGATCAAGTATGACGTCCCCATCCCAAGCCATCCAGCAGC